TTGGGATGATGGGTATTTTCACTATCTTGATTAGGTGATGGTTTCAAGAGTATATGCATATGTCCAAAGTTATCAATTTGTACAACTTCAAATATGTGTAATTTATTGTATGTCAATAATACCTTAATTATGCTGTTTTAAAAAATCCCTCTGGAATAGAAACCACAGACATAGACCCACATAAATATAATCAACTGATTATTGACAAAGGAGCAATGGCCATACAATGAAGCAAATATAGTTTTTTCAACAAATAGTGCTAGAACACAACAAATCCAGATAGACCTTACACTCTTCACAAAAATTAACTCAAAATGGATCACAGATCTAAATGTAAAATGCAAAACTATCCTAGAAGATAACATAGGAGAAACCCTAGATGACCTTGGGTGTGGTGATGACTTTTTAGATAATAACACCAAAGGCAAGGTCCATGAAAAAAAGGAATTGATAAACTGGACTTCATTAAAATTAAAAACTTCTGCTCTGTGAAAGACAATGTTAACAGAATGAGAAAAAAGTACATACTGGGATAAAATATTTGCAAAAGACACACAAATAAAGGACTGTAATCCAAAATATACAAAGAACTCTTAAAATTCAACAATAAGAAAACAAACAACCAGATTAAAAAGTGGGCCAAAGACTTTAACAGACACCTCACCAAAGAAGATATTCAATGACAAAGAAGTATATGAAAACATATACTCCACAGCATATGTCATCAGGGAAATTCAAATTAAAACAGCAATGAGATACCACTACCAGAACTACCAAAATTTGGAGCACTGACAACAACAAATGCTGGTGGCAATGCAAAAAGATACAGCTACTTTGGGAGATAGTTTGGTGGTTTATTACAAAACTAAACTTACTTTTACTGTATGATCCAGGAATCATGCTCCTTGGTATCTACCCAAGGGAGTTGAAAACTTAAGTCCACACAAAAGCCTATACACAATACTCACGGCAACTTTATTCATAATTGCCAAAACTTGGAAGCAACCAAGATGTGCTTCAGTAGATGACTGGATAAATAAACTGTGGTATGTCCAGACAATGGAATATTATTTGTTACTAAAAAGTAACGAGCCATCAAGTTATGGAAAGACATGGAGGAAACTTAAATGCCTATTACTAAGTGAAAGAAGCCAATCTGAAAGGTCACATACCGTATGATTCCAGCTATTTGACATTCTGGAAAGGGTAAAACTATGGAGAAAGTATAAAGATCAGTGGTGGCCAGGGAGTGGTGGAGGGAATAAATATTTGGAGACAGGATTTTTAGGGCCATGAAAACACATTGTATGATACTATAGTAATGGATACATGCCATTACACAATTGTTCAAACCCATAGAATGTACAACACCAAGAGTTAACCCTAATGTAAACAATGGACTTTGGGTGAGTATAATGTATCAGTGTAAGTTCCTCAATTGTTACAAATACACTGCTCTGGAGGAGAATGTTGATCATGGGGGAAGCTATGCATGTGTGGGTGCAGGAGGCATATGGGAAATCACTGTGCCTTTCTTTGCTTTGTTGTGAACCCTAACTTGCTCTAAAAAATTAAGTCTTAATTTTAAAAATCCCTCTGGCTGCTCAATGCAGAACTGACTTCTAGGTAAGGAAGAGTGAAAAAGACAGACAATTTACTGTGATCCAGGTGAGAAAGGGAAGTGCCTTGAACTAGGTTGGCAGTAACTGAGATGAAGAAAATTGGGCAGATTTGTGAGATATTTAGGAAATAAAACCTATAGGAGCTGGGAGAATGTCCACCATTTTCTAAAGGTCAGTTCATTCTGGCTTTCCAAAGCAAGGAGCTAGGAAAAATTACAGTAACAAAACTCCCTTGAAATTGAAGAGGAAGCCAATGGCAAAAACTTACCCTCACCTCAAATGTCCTGAGAGGACACCACTGGTTGCTAATTTGGTTGCAGTTTCTTAACTGCAAAGAAAAAGGAGAAGGAGAAGAAAAATAAGATGAAAAAAGATGGTACAAGCACATAATTTATGTAATATTCAACAGTGTCTCTTGATCTTTTTTAAAGCCATGGGAAGAAAATGAGAAGGGAGATCAGAGTTTAAAATCAGAATGAAGTGGATGCCCTATTATGTTCACAGTACTTAGCCTTTCCTGACAAAGATATAAATGTTGATAACACCTCTTTTAAAAATAAAACTTAACAATGTGATTCTTTAGATTTGTAGAGTGCTTTCCTGTTTACTAAGTTGTTCCATCATCTTCTCTAACTACCACTTCAGTCTTCTAAGGTAGGTATTATTGGCCAAAATTTTCTGATGAAAAAACTCTGAAGACAATTTTGGCATTGTAGAAGCAACATGAACTTTGGAATCCTTCACACCTGGGTTTAAATGTCTGTCGGGCTACCATTTATGGGCAACTTCAGAGAATTATTTCATAACTTAATTTTTTAAGGCTTCTTTACCCCATCCGTCATTTCACTACCATTAGCACCCCCTCCATGTACCCACTGTCTATTGGGTGTAAATAAGAAAACTTAAGTTAGTCACAGCACTCTAAATTGTCGGTGTCAGAAAGACCATCTAGTCCAGCCTCTACCTTCTTCTCTCCCCATTTCACAGAGCAAGAAATTGAAGCTGAGGAATTGGAAGAGATTCATTGTCAGTCTGTAGACCGTTCTCCTGTCTCTGAGACCTATGTTATTTTCATTTGACTTTCTCACCAGTCCAGCTGACTCAATTCCCTTTGAGCAACCCTAGTTAAGAGTTTTGGTGGAACTAGAGGTTGTGATGACTATTCAAATAAAGTTTTCAAAGTATCTGTGCATTTCAATTACATATTCCTGTTTCCTATTATAATGGGGAATTGAAAATTAGCCTTGTTACAATTTGACATGTCTAAGAATAAGTCTGCTTCTTTACCATAAGGGGTGATTTGTGAGATTCCTCACTAAAAAGGGCAGGGAGGGGTATATTTGGGATATATCCAGGCAAGGCTGAATCCATTAAAATACCAGGGGATAATTTTCACCACCTCAGGTAAAAAGCTTCTTAGGCCTTTGCATTCTGGAAGGTTCATTTATAACTCTTGCCCAAATGCCCTTGACATTGATTAATCTAGCTAAAATAGCAATGAGATGGAAGACTAGTTTAGGTTCTACTAACGTGGAACATAGAACAAATTTTGTCCTTGTTTCAACGTCTTCATCTGGAAAATAGAGCTGATCATACCCACTCTTCCCTGCCTGTGGGATTAAGTTACCTCCGTTGGTCAGGGTAAGTAAATGCCCATATGCTTAGCTGTGAACAAGATAAGTCTTTGTGGAAGCCTGTAAAAAGTAGAAGAGATCCACGCAAAAATCTCCACCAACATTTTGGGAGAGACAGACCCTGCCCAAATCTAGAGGTGTAAGAAATTTAAAGGCCAGGGAGGCTGAGGGCCTCTGCTGACACAAAGGGAAACCTTTCCCATAGATCTACCCTGCCACTTCTACTCTTCCATCCCCATCTGCCTCTCCATCTTTACAGAAAGACTATGGTACCTCCACCATAAAGAAGCAATTGCAGTATCCCACTTCACCCCCCACTCCTAGCTGTCCACCAAGAAGAAGAAAAGCAGTCATATGTGGTTTCCATTCCTTGAATAGTGCAGTTTGCAAGCTTAAAATATGCAAGGCAACTTGGAAGAGCAAGAGCACCGCTGCAAAACCCTGGACAAAATCGAGGTCCTTGTGTACATGACCAACGTTTCTGGTGTTTGTGTGTTTGCCTGCTTATCTGGGTGATTTTGCCTTTGCACGCTGGGTAGATGAGAAGTGTATGTTTAGAGGCAATTAGACGGGAAAACAGGAAGAGAAGAGGGTAGAAATGACCTCTGGTTATTAGGCAGAGGGTTCCTAGAGCAACTGGCATCATGCCACAAGGCCCAGTCTACCCCTACGGAGAAATTTGAAAGGTTTCAGCAAGTATCAGCTGCCTTGGCCATAGCTTCTTCCTCAGTTTGTACAAGACCCTCCCGTCTGTGCTTCTGTCTGCTTTTGAACATATAGTCCCTCTCCTGACGCACTGGTACTCACATCGCCCCTACCTACTCCCTTCCCCCTCACACACAAGCAGAGTCTGTTTTGAGATTGGACTTCGGAACCAAATCTGTAAGCGCTGGCCTTCGGGAGCTCCGCTTAGCCCTGTCTTCAAAATAAAGCTCCAGGTTAAAGCTTCAGCTCTGGCACCTCAAGCCTGGTCCCCGAAAGTAAGAGGTATTCAGGGAGCTAGGGCCCTCCTGGGCTACAGCAATCCACTCCTGCCTTCACCCACGCTGCGCCAGCACTTATTTCTCCAAAGCCACCCGGCGTTAGCGCGCCGCGAGGGGAGGGGAGAAAAGGAAAGGGGAGGGGAGGGAGAAAGGAGGTGGGAAGGCAAGGAGGCCGGCCCGGCGGGGGCGGGACCCGACTAGCAAACTGTTGCATTTGCTCTCCACCTCCCAGCGCCCCTTCCGAGATCCCAGGGAGCCAGCGTTCTGGGAGAGCTGGAGGGTCCCGAGCAAACCGGGAGGCAGAAGAGGCAACAGAGGAAAGCGACGGAGCTAGCCGCTCCAGTGCCGGACAGGAGCTGAAGGGACGTACCGCGTCAACCCCAGCTGGGCTCCGGCGACAGCGAACGCTTCTTGCAGCACGGTGGCTTGAAGCCGCCGCCCCAACAGCTGCCCTTTCCTCTTCGGTGAAGTTTTTAAAAGCAGCTAGAGACTCGGAGGAAGCGAGGAAAGTGCCGGGTAGGACTGACGGCTGCCTTTGTCCTCTTCCCCTCCACCCCACTCCCCGCCCTGGGTCTCCTCTCCTGTTGCTGCCTCGGCCCGCTCCTCCCTGCCCGTCTCCCTACCCCCCCCCCCCCCCCCCCCCCCCCCCCCCCCCCACCCCAGTCGGCCCAGCGCGGCCAGCCGGAGTTTGCAGAGAGGTAACTCCCTTTGGCTGCGAACAGGCGAGCTAGCTGCACGTTGCAAAGACGGCTCTGGGGAGCCGGGCGACCGGCGAGCCGCTTCAGCACTTGCAGCTGGGACGCGGCTAGTTAGGCGGTACGCTGGGCCGGCCCCCAGGTTCCGCTCATTCCCTTTCCATCTCCTGCACGCAGGAGCTACACCGCCCCCCCCCCCGCGCCCTCAGTTTGCAGGGCCAGAGACCAAACAATGAAAGGGCAGAGGGCAGTGAGGGCTTCAATCGACAATTAAAAACAAAAACAAAACCACAACCAAACAAAACAAACCCCCAAACCCAAAATAAAACAAAAAGAGAATAACCCGGTTCCTATTTGCACCTGCTTCAGTGGACACTGAATTTGGAAGGCAGAGGGTTTTCCTTGTTTTTGTTTTGTTTCCTTCAAGACTTGGGCATCTTTTGACTCTACCCTCCCAAGATTTCACGAACAGACTGTGAGCCTAGCAGGGCAGATCGTGTCCAGCGCGTGTTTTCCTGGGCAGGAGACTTCGAGGCTGTCAGAGTGCTCTTGCGTGGTTATTCCTGCAAGTTTCCTTCCCAGGAGCTTCCCGCAGGTGGGCAATTAGCTGCAGTGACTACCGCATCGCAGCCTGTTGAACTCTTCTCAGCTAGAGAAGGGGAAGCGGAATAAAGGAATTAGGCGGAAGAGTCAGCCAAGCTCAAGGATGGAGGTACAGTTAGGGCTAGGGAGGGTTTACCCCCGGCCGCCGTCCAAAACCTATCGAGGAGCTTTCCAGAACCTGTTCCAGAGCGTGCGCGAAGTGATCCAGAATCCGGGCCCCCGGCACCCTGAGGCCGCGAGCGCAGCACCTCCCGGCGCCCGTTTGCAGCAGCAGCAGCAGCAGCCGCAGGAGACCAGTCCTCGGCAGCAGCAACAGCAGGGTGACGATGGCTCTCCCCAAGCCCAGAGCAGAGGCCTCACAGGCTACCTGGCCCTGGACGAGGAACAGCAGCCTTCCCAACAGCAGCCAGCCCCCAAGGGCCATACGGAGAGCGGCTGCGTTCCAGAGCCTGGAGCTGCTTCAGCCACCGGCAAGGGGCTGCAGCAGCAGCAGCCAGCACCACCGAACGAGGATGACTCAGCTGCCCCATCCACGTTGTCCCTGCTGGGCCCCACTTTCCCGGGCTTAGGTAGCTGTTCCACCGATCTTAAAGACATCCTGAGCGAGGCCGGCACCATGCAACTCCTTCAGCAGCAGCAGCAGCAGGAGGTAGCATCGGAAGGTAGCAGCAGCGGGAGAGCTAGGGAGGCCGCTGGTGCTCCCACCTCCTCCAAGGACAGTTACCTAGGGGGCAGTTCGACCATCTCAGACAGCGCCAAGGAGTTGTGTAAGGCAGTGTCGGTGTCCATGGGCTTGGGTGTGGAGGCGTTGGAGCATCTGAGTCCTGGGGAACAGCTTCGGGGGGATTGCATGTACGCCCCGCTCCTGGGAGGTCCACCCGCTGTACGTCCTTGCGCCCCGCTGGCCGAATGCAAAGGTTCTCTTCTGGATGACGGCCCAGGCAAGGGCACCGAAGAAACTTCTGAGTATTCCCCTTTCAAGGCAGGTTATGCCAAAGGGTTGGATGGCGACAGCCTGGTTTGTTCGGGCAGCGGTGAAGCAGGGGTCTCCGGGACACTTGAGCTGCCATCCACCCTTTCTCTCTACAAGTCTGGAGCACTAGATGAAGCGGCAGCTTATCAGAGTCGCGACTACTACAACTTTCCGCTCTCCCTAGCCGGGCCGCCGCCCCCTCCGACACCTCCCCATCCTCACACCCGTATCAAGCTGGAAAACCCGCTGGACTATGGCAGCGCCTGGGCGGCTGCAGCGGCACAATGCCGTTACGGGGATCTGGCGAGCCTGCATGGCGGGGGTGCAGTGGGACCCAGCTCAGGCTCACCCTCGGCCACTGCCTCCTCTTCCTGGCACACTCTCTTCACAGCAGAAGAAGGCCAGCAGCTGTACGGGCCCTGTGGCGGGAGCGGAGGCGGCAGCGCTGGCGAGGCAGGGTCTGTAACCCCCTATGGCTACACTCGGCCACCTCAGGGGTTGGCAGGCCAGGAAGGTGACTTCCCTCCACCTGATGTGTGGTATCCCGGCGGTGTGATGAGCAGAGTGCCCTATCCGAGTCCCAGTTGTGTCAAAAGCGAGATGGGTCCCTGGATGGAGAGCTACTCCGGACCGTATGGGGACATGCGGTAAGTTTCTCCTAGACATGTCTTTGAATGTAGAGTTAGTCGGCGTTCTGGGGTATCTCTTCTACCTGCGGGAACACTCTACCCCTGCAAGAGCTCAACAGTGTTCCATAAAAAGGGCCGTCCTGAATCTGGAGCCTTCTGGGTACTCCTAGCCTGCCAAAGATAAGACCATTGTGCTCAGAAGCCCCACTGTGTGCACCAGTCCCCACCACTGAGAGCCCTGGGTGCTGGTGTGTGTCCTTCCAGATACCTTAATAACACCTCCCCCACCTCCAGCCTCTTGAAATCCTTAGTACCTCACGGTGCTCTATGTCCTAAAGGCTCCAAACTTAAATCCAGTAGTAAGAGCCACCTTCAGAAATAAAGCTCTTAAGTCCTCCAGTACTTTTTCTCATCCCTCTTCCCAAATCTGAGAACCTGGACAGGAATTATGGGCGGTTTCACCTCTTAGAGTGTGTTAGGGTTTGCCCTCCAGCCTGTGGCCGGTCTTGGCAGGTTAAAGGCAAAAAGACTGGCCCAAATTTTTCTCAGTCCGCCTCCTCCAAAGACATAAAATGGAGGTGCCGGATTAGGGAAAGAAGGTCTGAGTTCTCTGGGTTCTGAGGGACGCTGTGTGAAGACAGGGTGAAGTTCCTTCCCTGGCAACAACTGAGGAGTTACCCCAGGGTTGGAAGTCCACAGAGAGAATCCGAGCAGGCAAAGGTAGAGGGAAACGAGAGGACAACTTTCTTGGTAAACACTGGGCAGTATTTGCTCTCATAGATTGACCATACTGGACGTAGCTGCTTGGTTCGGTCTTGTAAAGTTTATTTTCTCTATGGAGTACAGCAGATCCACAGTCCCCTACTTCAAGTTTGCATCAGATCCATAAAAGAGAATGTTCTTTTAATGAATAATTTAGCCAGGCTTGATTCTGACTTATAAAGTGTTGGAAATTTTTTTAAAGAATTTCCTGCTATTCCAGTGTGCTCAGAAATTGCTTTTGGGAGGGAGGAGTGAGGCTCTTCAATATATTCCTTCATTTTAAGAATATGCTTGCATTTTTTTATTAAAGTATAGGTGACATACAGTGTTATATTAGATGTGCTTGCATTTTAAAACATGAGCTGCTACCTCTAACAAACTTAGTAAGAACTGTTAGGGACCTATGAGCCATAATTTTGCCCATGAGTTTTAATTAGGACATGAAAAAAGTGGTGGTCGATTTCACCTTGCTTATTAAAAATTATTCCTACATTTGTTGAGCTTCTTGGAGATCATGTTGAAGATTCTCCCCCCTACCCCCCCACCAAAGGTATTAGTTTATCTCCATGAGGGAGGGAATACTAACCAAGGAACTAACTCCTTAGGTGTGCTGGGTACTTATGTCCCCTTGGAGTTGTGTCTTGTTACGTCTTGCTTTAGCTGTTTTGTTTTATCTGTGACTTTTCCAAAATTTCTTTGTTAGCCTTAGCATCTTTGGTGACTTAAACCCAACAATTTGCCTCCTTTTACTGATGCTTTTTTTCTTGGAAGGTTGATAGAACAGTGCTAGGACAGAACGCGGAGGATAGGATTTCATAAAGTATTATTTTTTGGGCTATTGAAGAAACAGCTTCTTACCAGCCTTTACATCCTAGTATTAGATTTTAAGTGTTTAGCTTACAGAATTTTCAAAGGGTTTATTTATATCATCAAAATGTTTTCCAGTTAGTTTGTTTTTTTTTTTAATTATTTTTGCAATGTGGTTATACTGTGGAATTTTTCTTCATTTTATAAGAACAGATTTACTTGGTAGGGTTAATTTTTTTCCCCTAGGGTTGTTGCTAGTCCTGTGAAATTTTTTGAGGGATGGGATGTCTCAGGTGCTTCTTGACATAACCATGATGTTAAACTGGAACCTTTTCTCTTCTGCACACCCTCCCCAACAGTTAACTCAGTTAATAGGGAGGAAATGAGCAATTCCACATCTTTGTTAAGGGATGTGTTTCTTTTTTTGAAGATTTTATTTATTTATTTGACAGAGAGAGACACAGCCTGAACCGAAGGCAGACACTTAACGACTGAGCCACTCAGGCGCCCCAAGGGATGTGCTTCTTTGAAAATATAACCTGAGAATTTCAGGAAGTAGCTATAGAAAGCAAAAAGTTCTTCCCATGAGGTGTGCAGTAAGCTAGGTTATTTTATCCCAGGTCTTAGTGGGAAAATTTCTCTGTTAGAAAGACCTGCTTAAATTAATGACCTTAACTAGTGAGAATTTAGCAGTACCCAAAGAAAGTAAAAGATTATTAATCTTCCCCGGTTTGTGGTTGCAGCACTGGCTATGAGAGTCTAGTGAAAGAGAAAACTGGGATTCCTGTCTTGTGGGTTGACAAAGAATTTTCATTTCTAGGATATAGAAAATCGTTGAGTCAGTTTTTTGAAAATTTACCAATTTCATCAAAATGCGACCAACCCCAGTCTAAAAGTTGACATTTTCTTACTTTATCTTTCTTTCCCTCACTTTATTGGGGCACAATCTGGTGAAAGGCAAGGGATTTTTTTTTTTTTTTAAAGAGAGAGAGAGAGAACAAGCAGGGGGAGCAGCAGGCAGAGGGAGAGGGAGAAGTAGGCTCCCTACAGAGCAGAGGGAGCCCGATGTGGGACTCGATCCCAGGACCCCGGGATCATGACCTGAGCTGAGGCAGCCGCTTAACCAACTGAGCCACCCAGGTGCCCCAGGCAAGGGATTTTTTAAGCCAAAGCCAGAGCTTCCACCCTGTCTGTATTGCATGCATTATGTGCTAAATTTGAATTAAAAATCTAAAAATTCTAGAGGCTTCCAATAATGTCGGATTCCTCCTTTCCCAATTGTGTGTGTGTTCATACACATTAGTTAATTGGGGGGGTTAACTTTAGTAACTTTTGAAATAACTCTATGTTCTTATACATCTACAATGTTTCTGCTCAAAGGAGAGAGGCCGAAGGAGAAACTGAAGGTGGTCCTTTAAAAAAAAAAAAGAAAAAAACAACAACAACTTAAGTTTAAGCATGTGCTTTGAACAGAAGGAAGAATAAAAAGCGATGGGGCTTTCTGTACAATCCTGATGATATTTAATGGAGCTGTCTTTCAGAGATCAAACAAGACTACAACTTTGTTAATAGACCACCTGCCCACTTGACAGAAGTAAGACCTTTTATATTCCAGAAAGCAGCACAATAATATGAAAAAATATTCTTGGGAGCTGAGGCCCAAGGAAGCAAGTGCCAGAATAAGAGTTAGGATTTAGATTAATTATCTGGATGCAAAAAGAATTTTTCTCTTGGTAATTTATTCTGATCTTTATAATAGGTAATATTTTTGTAGTGCTTTGAGATCAGCAAATCCCGCTTTTTTCCCTCTTAGTTATTTAAAAGAAAGGCATTTTATTAATCCCCTTTCCATCTCCTCTCCCCTCTTTAGTTATCGAACAAGTTTTTATGACTATTTTGCAAGGAGTGGTTTTTGTTTTTTTTCCTAACGCTGAATTTTGCTTTGGGACCGAGATAGTCTGATGCTTTTTCTGTCCATAGTCCTTGAGAGTCAGTATGTTGGAAAGAAGCATCCTTTCTCCATTGTCAGCAAATAACTAGTGAGTTATGTTTGAGTACCAGTGATCAGGACCAGAGGACCAAGTAGCCACACTGGGTGGTACCCCATTTGGAAATATGTGCAAGATGTACTGATGGAAGGCTCCTCTTTGTTGTCCACAGAGTATCTCTTTTAGCTCGGCCAAAGGTTAGCATCAGTAAAAGATATTTTCCAAGACGCTTGTAGCCTTCCAATTGCAGGGTCACTTTGGGGCACTTTCTTGCCAGGGCTAATTTTACCTCATCAGACTTCCATTCTTTGAGTTGTAAACTTTGATATAATATATTGAATTTGCTGGCACATTTAATTTTCTATAAGTGTTTTTCTTCCCTGTAATAATTTTCTCCTGTGGTGTACATATACACATTTAAAACAATGAATCCTTAGGATTCTGACTCCTACTTGTACTGTGACGCTCTTGGTGGGATTATGAGTTGGAGCTAGGGACCTGGACAGTTTTGTTATTTTTTTTTCCCATGGTGGTATAGAGACCACCAGTTTCATTTGGAAGTCTGCTCAAACAGGGAACAGAATGTAGGCTGGGAGTGGCAAGCAAGGGACTTATTTTATAACCAAACCTGAAATCATGATTCTGAAAAATGGAAAGCAAACAAAAATCAAGTTTTGTGAGGTTGGTCAGAGAGGGAAAAGGAAACCTCTCCCCACCCCCTACCTCCACCATTTTCTCTTTGTCTGCAGCTTCCTCAAGTGCTGCATGTCCCGGATTTTCTTTCATTTCTCTCCTTTCATGCTTTTAACTCAATGGAAACATAGACACTTCTTTCTACTTTTTGGGATATTTTCCTCATTACACCTGTGGCATGCTCCTAAAGATTTTTTTTTTTAATCTGGAGAGTAACCAATCAGATCAATGCCAGCCCTTCTCTTAAGGCTAGATGACTTGAGGGGATTGCAAAATTAATAGCTGGGCTTTTTTGGCCTCAGGTTAGAGCCTAATTCAACAGTTGCTGAGGGAGCTGAACTAGATGGCTTGAGGCCTTGGTGATTTAATGAAATATTTTGCCAGCCCAGCCGCTGTCTCTCTCTTTTGATCTCTGTCTCTGTTTACTGGCCATTTTGGCAACCTTCTCTCAAAGCCTGAAAATAACTGGACCCTCACTGAGACTGTGCTGGGTCAGACCTCCACCACACTTTCACAAGCAATACCTAAATCTGTGTGTGAGGATGCTTCTTCGAAGTGTCTGGCTGGGCTAATAAATATGTTGATGCTATGTAAAGTAATCATTTGAAAACAAAGAATGATATTGAAGAAACTGTTCTACCTCAGACTTCCCCTACCAGCATTCCATCAAGTTCTGAAATGTTGAATTCAGAGTTAAGTTATCCTCATCTTAAACACAAAGCTGACCTTTTTTTTTTTTTTTTTCATTGCTTGTAATGTTCTCTGCAGTTACCAGTATGGGTTGGCATTTGTCATATTGAAGAGAATTATGAAATCTCATATTTAGAGCACCTTTTCAAAGAAAAGCCCCAGTGTCTTATAGTTTACTGGCTAACACGTAAGTTTGAGTAGGCCAAGAGGATGCTTAGCGATCAACCCTTTGCTAATTGAGGGTATAGAAATAGTTGAGTTTTCTATAACATTTGTTTACCATGTGGAGAAACCTCTCTAGAGCAGCACTTCCCAGCTTTTTTTCTACCAGCTTCCCACCTGATAGATGTTTTAGATTGGTGCTCAGTAAGGGCTACTGTCAGTGGCTATTGCCGGAAATGATAGGACTGTGAATTAGGCACAATTCCTTGCACATTCATGGGTGCTGCCACCCTTTCTCTCTTAAACCATTTCCTGCTGCCAACCTGCAGGCCACATTAGGGTTGAGAGTGGCTCATCCAGATAAGCTTATAGCTCTAAAGTGCTGGTTACCTGAGAATGCTGCCAATTTAGATCAGGTAGTACCTGAGTTTTATTTTATTTTTTTAATAACAGCTTCAGTGAAACATAATTCATTTTCATCCATTAAAAGTGTGCAGTTCAGGACGCCTGGGTGGCTGTGGGTTAAGCGTCTGCCTTCGGCTCATGTCATGATCCCGGGGTCCTGGAATCCAGCCCCATATGGGGCTCCCTGCTCCGTGGGGAGCCTGCTTCTCCCTCTGCCCCGCCCCACCTCATGCTCATTCTGTCTCCCTCTCTCTCTCAAATAAATACAGTATTTCAAAAAAAGTGCAGTTCAAAGGTTTTTAGTATATTAGTACATTCAGAGTTGGGAAACCATCACCACTATTTTAAAATATTTCAATCACCTAGCGTCACCCCACCCCCCACCCCGCCAAACACTGAGCAACTATCAAGCACCAATCTACTTTTGGTCTCTATGGGTTTGCTTATTTTAACATTTCATTTAAATGGAATCATGCCATATGTGATCTTTGGTGACTAGCTTCCTTCATATAGAATAATACTTTCAACGTTCATCCATGTTGAAGCAGGTATCGATATTTCATTCCTTTTTATCACCAAATGTTCCATTATATGGATGTATCACATTTTATCTACCTATGCATCAATTGATGAACATTATAGTTGTTTCCACCTTTTGACTTCTATGACTGATGCTGCTATGAACATTTATGAAAATTCATACAAATTTTTTGTGGGTGTGTGAACATAATATTTTTAATTCTTTTGGGTACATACCTAAGAATGGAGTTTCAGGATCATACGGTAACTCTCTGTTTGACCCTTTAAGGAACTCCCAAACTGTTTTTGTAATTGCACCAGTTTACAATTTCACCAGCAAAATATGAGGGTTCCAGTGGTTCTACATCGTGCCAATACGTACTGTCTTTTTAATTATAGTTGTCCTTAGTATGTGTGAAGTGGTATCTCAAAATGGTTTTTCATTTGCCTTTCTTTAATGAGCAATAATATTGACCATATTTTCATGTCCTTATTGGCTGTTTGTATATCTTTTTTTGGGAAAATCTCTATCCAGAAACTTTGCTCATTTTTAATTGGATTATTTGTCTTTTTATTATTGAGTTGCAAAAGTTTTCTAATGTATTCTGGATACAGGTCCTGTAACAAATTACGATTTGTGAATATTTATCACATTCTGTGAATTGTCTTTTCATTTTCTTAATGGTATCCATTGAAGCACAGACATTTTGAATTTTTATAAAGTCCAATCCATTGTTTTCTTAGGTGGCTTGTGATTTTGGTGTCATATATAAGAAGGCTTTGACTAATCGAAGGTCACAAAGATTCACACCTACGTTTCCTTCCTAACTGTTAAGTTTAGGTTTTTGACCAATTTTCAGTTTTTAAATAACTCATAAGATGTGAGTAGCGGTCCAACTTCATTCTTTTGCATGTAGCTATCAACAAATGGTGTAGTCATCACAACACCATTTGTGGAATCTTCCTCATTTAACTGTCTTGGCACCCTTTGTATAAAATCAGTTGACTATAAATGTGAAGTTTTATTTCTAGACTCTGAATTGTATTCCACTGCTCTTTTAGCAGTACCACACTGTCTTAATTACTGTAGGTGCTTGGTAAGTTCTGAAATGATGAAGTGTGAGTCCTCCAACTCTGTTCTTTTTAAGATTGTTCTTTTGGCCTTTCTGGGTCCCTTGAATTTCTGTATTAATTTTAGGATCAGTTTGTCAGTTTCTACAAAGAAACCAGTTGAGAATCTGATACAGGTTGCATTGGATCTGTAGATCAATCTGGGGAGTGTTGCCATCTTAACAATCAATGTTTAATCTTCTGATCTGTGACCATGGGATCTTTCCATTTATTTAGCTCTTTCTCAACAGTGTTCTGTAGTTTTAAGAGTATAAATTTTGTACTTTTGTTAGATTTATTCCTAAATATTTTAATTTTTAATGCTATCATAAATGAAATAATTTTCTTTATATCCCTTTTAAATTGTTCCCTGCCAGTATATAGCGATAGAACTGATTTTTGTATATTGACCTTGTATCCCGCAACCCTGCTGAAAGTACCTGAGCTCTGAACATGTCTGGGACTTAAGAGGCACGTTCCTGTTGCTGTACTAAAGTTAAAGCATACTTTGTCTCAGCCTATATGAAGGCCACATAGGGACACTGTTCTCAATTTTCTTTAGCTGTAAACTGAAATTGGTATGAATTCTGGATGAATAGAAGAATGCCTCTAAAATTATCAGGTCTTTAGAGAACAGTAGGAAAGAAACCTAATAAGGTTTATGCGGTTAATAGTCCCCTTTTAGTATTTGGATTTGGAAACTATTAGCAAGGAGATGAGGAATTAATAATTTCTACACACAAAACTAACATGGAGAGGTAACAAATGCAAACTAGGTCAAAGAAATAACTAGCTATATCTGGCTTATGTTTAGGTTTGTGTAAACAGCTGGAGTCATAATTTTATGTTTTTATGTGTTGTCCTTTGGATACAATAAATGCCACCACTCTTTCTGGTGTGTATTTCTAGATGAGGAAATGGTTCATTTGCTCTCATATGATTTGGGCTTCTTTTCGGGGATGGACTCTATAACCATGAAGCAAAGATACAATTTACCTATAAAGGGACTGAACTTTGGCCTCACTAACACTCTAGGCTAAGGGTCATATCTAATTAGCTCCAGCTATTGTGTCTTGATAATGGTGCATAAACGGCAGGCCACTGAACTTGTACAAGGTCCTATCATGACCTGGCTGTCTTTACAAATGACCCTATTAAAGTGATTTTTTTAAAAGTACACATCAATCAACCACTTTTCATTAAGCACCTGCTGTACGCCTACCTGTGTGCTATAAGGAGGTTAGGGTAAAAAGGACACAATTCAGAAGAATCTTGAGATCACTATCCTCAATAAGTTTATAACCATTAAAACAACAACAACAACAACAAAAAAAAA